ATCTGTATTTCAGAAATCTGACAAAGTATGTACAATCATTGTCTCAATCAGGAGCATACCACCTAGTAGGATTCTTACCTTCAGTGAGTCCTCCTGACTACCAATTCTTGGAATCAATATCAACCAACCTGATCAGCTTCCAGACAGCATCAAATATATGCTAAGCAAATTGTCTTGCATATCAAAGACTGGTATGGCTTCACTTCATACTCACTGCTGCAGGGAATTGTTTCACACCTGCTGGTCAATTTTGCTCAATGAAGAATTTGTTCATGTATATCACCATGACATCATTCTGAAATGTCCTGATGGTGTGTTATGGAGAGTGTTTCCCAGAATACTCGCATATTCAGCTGATTATCCCAAGAAGTAAACTTGTCCTTTACCTTGATATTAACATTTGGATCATTCATTCATTTTCAGGGCTTTAATCATAGCCATTAAAGATATGGGTTCATGTGCATGTCCTCATTATCTCACCCTAAAAAGTAGGTTGGGTTTCTTGGTTTATTAAAGGACATGAGAAGTTGGATGATCAACCTTCAAGTCTATGCTACAGCAAAGGTTATTGCAGTGTGTGAGTTTATCTACAGGTGTGGAAACACTGTAGATGGTTCAAAGGTTAAACACACTCTTGGAGAGGGTTTGTGAATACCCACAGTGGTAAGCTCAAATGATTCCTTGAAAATTTGGATCAGCTGAGATCAGTTACTGACAGAATCAATTTGTCAACAAGCTTGGATCACTCAGCCTAGACCCATTCTGCATGCTTGTTGTTGACTTCATGCATGAATATGAACTAGGTACCTGGAAGACATTATTTATCCACCTTATCAGGCTTCTTTATGTGCTTCCTGGGGGGAGTCAGCTCATTGTGACCCTTGACAACAGGTATGCAAGGTTTATACAGAGTGCTATTGTCTGCTAATGAGTCATTGACTTTCAATCTCTGTGGGAAACACAATAAGAAGAGAACTGGAAAGTAGGCTTCTAATGTTAGGCTAAATGTGCTATGCCTAGCTGCTATTCAACCCTAAAGGGTTTCTGGACTAAGCTCAGTGCTCAGAGAGGATAGGAAATCATGCTATAAACTCTCAGTCTCAGACTGGTACTGGTAGGTGGTGAAAACTATATTGATTACATAAGCACCAAAAGTGCGAACATAACACTAAGTAATATCTGCCTATACAAGCCCACAGAATATGAAATCCCTACATTGCATCATAGATTTCAACAGGTCCTGACATTTGGTAATGGGACAATTCAAAAGTTTGCTAACAATACCTCTGAGATGAAAAGATTAGCAGCGCATGATTTTGAAGATATTTTACAGGTTTTGGGTCATTCATTTTTTTGATTCAGCTGACTGAGATGTCTAATTATTAGTGTTCTATTGCAGTCTTTGAAGGCCTGTTCCCCACCAACCACAATTCAGTTGTGTAGTCTCTGCTGTATTGATTTTCACAGTGGCATGCACTCACAAAGCTTAGAATTCATTCTGATTCTACTGTGATGTTTCTCAAACAGGCATTCAAGAAGCCCTCTCAGATGTTGCAGAAGTTTCGACATGACACCTGTGCTGCCTTCAAGACCATGGAGTTACTGAAAGAGACAGCAGCTCACCAATGGAAGTTCACTCAACACTCTGAACCCAATGTAACCTCTCCAGAATCAAGCAGGGTGAGGACAAAGCAGTTCAATCTCTGCACTTATAAATTTCATGTGATGGGAGACTATGTAAGCACCATCAGGCTCTTCAGGACAATGGATTCTTTTACCACTCAAATGGCACATACCAGTCCCATTTCCTCTATCTGCCTGACATCAGACTTTGCTAGGAAGAACTTGTGCATAGAGCTCTCAAGGTATTCTACCCACTGACCAGCAAATTAGACTCACCAGTGCAGTTGGCTAAGCATAAGTGCAGGCACTATGTCCTTCAACAGATAGCAGAGGCAGGAGATATGCCCCCTCCTGATACTCACTCACCTGCCGATGCCTCTCTGTTGATGTCATCTGGACAACATCACCATATCACGACTAGTCAGAGCAGTCCAATTAACCTATTTGCATTCCTTCATGAACACTTACACATTTCTTACAGTAGTTTTCAGAATTTCATACCAAAACTCAGGGATCATGTTCTTTTCAGGCTTCAGAAGCTAGACATCAGCTATTGTGATCTTATCTTCACCAACAAAGAGCACAATACAGCCATCATTCCTAACAATACAATATACTCAGTCCACACCATGCAGATATATTACACTACCTATGACTTTAGGCACAAGTATGACACTATCAACCCAAGAACTCACACTGATGTCATGGTGCTTTCAGGGGAGCTGCTGCCTAATCACCCATACTGGTATGCATGGATACTAGGCATCTATCATTTGGAAACATGGCTCACAAATGGAGATCAACCTATGAAACAGCACCTTAAGGTGCTCTAGGTCAGATGGCTGGTGCCACTGCAGAACCATTGATCCAGCATAAAGTACACTTGTCTCCCAAAGGTTGTGTTTGTGGACAAATCAGACCTGGATGCATTCAGATTCCTTGATCCATCACAAGTGATTCAAGGAGCTCATCTGATACCCACATTTGCCTCAGAATGAGGTATAAGCTCACTTCATTACAGTAAATCCTTAGCTTGTCCCAATGGCAAGCTAGATGATTGGGAGGAACATTATGTGGGGATGTGAGTGCAGATATTACTTTCTACTATGTCAGGTTAATCCTTGACATTTGGGTCAGATTTGTTGATCAGGATATGTTTATGTGATATACACACCTTGGTGTTGGACATCCAGCAATGTTCCAGAGGATAACAAGAGATTGCCTTGGTTTTGGGGCACCAGCTGATGCCATGAATGTTGTAAATAATAACACTGATCCTGAAGAGACCAGCGATGGTGAGTGCATTGAAGAGTTTGATGCTGAAGATGAAGAGGAGGAGGAGGAGGAGGAGGAGGAGGGTGATTTTGCATTGAATGATGAGGAGCTGGAAAAGGGGAGGATGAAGAAGGATGAGATGGTGACATATTTGATGACCTTTCTTTTTAGATTTCTATTAGTTTTGGCCAGTCCCTCAAGGTTGGGCCCAGGGGCATCAGCAATTTGATGAGAAATCAGATTTCAAGGAATTGTGAGCCACTGAAATTGCATGAATACTTTCATCCTCCAAATTGAATTTGCAGTTTACATGAGTATATACTACAAACACTTCTCAAAAATGGCCATACAGGCCTTTGTTTTCTTGATAGCTACTTCATTCTGCTTGCTTTACTGCTCCTCACCAAACTTAACTATATCAAGGACTGTCTGCCACTCAGTACCAGTTTTCTCCCTGCAGATGCACTTCACTGCTGGAGCAGGATGAGTCAGAGATATGTTCTCCTTGTCAGAATCAATTTGATCTGGTTTTCTCTTCCAACTCTGATGAGTGGTGGTATGAGAAGTCTAAGCTCATATTACCTCAGCTTCAGCTTTCTGATCACTTAGATCAGTACAATAAAATAACACATAGTAACTGCAGAAACTCACCATCCTGTTGAATTCTTCGTGCCCATCACCCATTGCAACAGTAGCTCTCATGGTATCTGATAGTAAGTGCATTGCGAATTCAGGGTCTGTCACAGTTGAGCCTGGTTCCCAGAACAGGGATGTGTCTTCACTGCTCCCAGATACAGAAAATTAAAACATGCAGTGGGGTGGGACATGTGGCATCATATCCTCAGCCCAAGGGGGCTGGGCAGTTATTGCATGAGAATTGTCTGTGTAGGAAGACATAGCTATTGAGAAGCTTGCATTGATCTGAAAATTCAAGGTTTGTGAGTTGTGAGCAAGGCTAGCTCTTGTAGTAGTCATGGTAGGGTAAGCACAGCATATCATATAGAAAAGTACTAGTGTCTGACATGTATGCACATATGATGCACTGGGGGATCAAGCTCAGACTTGGCACACTAATTCTAGCTTGCCAGAATCATCACTCAAAAATTTGGCAAGTTCCCAGCTGTTATCTTTCTGGCCTCCAACAGTTTTAGTTAAGTGTAAAATTGGTGAAGGCACAAAGCTTACATAACACTTACATGACAGAACCCACAGTCCCACTAACAGAGTAAAAGTGCACTTTGATGACAGCACTGTTAAAATAGTCAAATTTCAAACTCAATGTCAAGGATGGCAATGACAACTTCTATACATTATAACTCTAATATCTGGCTGTGTGAGAGCCTTTCAACTGTGCAGTTAAAGCCTTTCTGGCCTTCAGGTGAGGATCTTGATTTCAATTTCAATTTTGTTTGTTTGGTTTCGATGAGGAGTTATCTGGCCTCCAAACCAAGCCTCTGATGCTCCAGATTCCACTGTCCATGGGGCAGACCATCTGGCTTCAGAATCAAGCTTCTGCTTGAGATTCCACATTGCATGGGGCAGACCTTTTGGTCTTCAGTCAAGGGTCTCCTCATTCCCATTTCCATTTTCTTTTGGATTGAAGTAGTATGTACACCATAGTGCTGGTAAACTCCCACCTATATTAACTTTGTGTGGTTTGTTCAAGTTGTAATGCTATGGAAGCTTAGGATCTGCTCATGAGTTGTGCAGTGTGCATGCAACCTTAATTATGTGGTTTCCACCTTCATTTTGATCATGCATAGTGTGTTATTGGCACTGCCATAGATGGGCCTGAATAAAACTTCTTGATAGTTGATAAATTTGGACATCTATGCTCATGTCACAAAATAGACTCTGCTGCCTACACTATTCCCAAACTGGTGGTTGCTCAAAAATCAACAATTACACTTTGATTTCACTTTCCCCAGATAATACCATTCCTGTTTAGGTTGTGCCATCTTCTGCATCTACTAGTGCTAATGTTGCTTTGAGAGCCTTCCCTTATAGGCATACATCATCTACCTTTGCTGACACTACATAAAACAGGAGCAGGATAATGATCTCCTACCCTCATTTTCATAGGCTCCATTTCAAAACCTACTATGTCTCAGTTAGTGGAGGTTGTCCCCCAACCTCTGGAATCATCACAGTCACTGGCAGTAGCAACATCCAAGAGTGCTCAACAGAGGTGAAAAATTGCTACCCTTGAAGAAAAGTTACAGGTGCTGGAATTAGGTCATGTGGTCAAAGTAAGGCATGTGCACAATTGTATACATCCATTTCAGGTTTCTCACTACCAGATGTGATGATTATCAGGGAGACAAACTACTACATGTCAAAAGAAAGAGCTATCAGATGTATAGTTATGTTGTTTGATACCATCAAAGACCTAATATCTGAGAATGATAGGAGGTGCAATTTGGACGATAAGGACAACAATGTGACTCTTGAGTAAGTTTTTTTACATGTACCTTGTGATTGATAACCCCTAGATCTCAAAGACTCAATGGTTCACTGATGTGGTTCATTGTTACAGTCAGGAGTGCCTGCAATTTGGTTACATTGCCCTTAATCACACTCTCCCATGGCTTCACTCAAAGGCTTCAGATATGGAGTATGATGATTATACACATATGCTAAAAAAGATGTGCTTTGACAAGGGGACACCATTTGCCTTCTGCTAAACTGTTATCTAGCTTATGCAAGGGGCTGATGCTACTTGAGGGGATGACACCTCAAAACTCAAGAACCTCATTGCTGATTGGGTCAATTGTGAATTAAAGCCTAATCCTCCAGTTAACCCTGAGGATAAACATCATCATGGTTTTGGTAATGATGGGTATGGTAGACTCCTCTGCCTGACTGAGCTAGACTGGAGTAATCCAACATAATTATCTCACTTATGATCTTCATGACACTAACTTAAAGGACCAGTCAGCGTCAGAGCAGGAATTAGGGATCATGCAGATGGCTATATCATGATGGAAATGTCCTGGCCAGCCTTCCTGTATGAAAAATACTCAGCTAATCAGGACAATCTGGAGAAGGGCCTCTTCCAAAGTGTTCTCCTGCTTCAGGTTAGTCATACCTGAATAATTTGGCAAGATCTCACTTTTTAACAGGCTTTCAAAGCCATATTCACATCTCCTTCCTCTGCAAAGGATGTTGCAGGTGAAGGAAATGGTGCTAATGTAATCAAAAACAGCCAATGTGCTAAGAGGGATGTCAATTTGGGCAAGAAAGTCAAGACACATGTGGCACAAATTATCAAGATGTGCAAAGTCATGCCCCACTCTATCACATATGTCTCATGTCAAGTAAGTGGTGAGTTTTCTATTTTCCTTGTTGAGCACTAACAGTATGTAACAAGTTGTGATTTGTGCTGTCATCCGTGACATCATGGCACTCAGTTGATGGCAACTTTGACTATATACCATTCTGGCAAAACATTGTCAACTTCTTTGAGTGGCCCCCTGGTTGTGCAGTGCAGCAAAAAGTTGACCAATTCTTGGCATGGTGGACAAGGTGCATCCATTAAGCACTCAGTAGTCCTCAACTAATCTTCATTTATCAGGAAAGTCTTTGGAACTAGCTGCCATGTGGAACTTATTGACAGAGCAAAGGCCAAGATGTCTGTAAATGCTCTTGCAAGGCAGAGAGTGCAACTGGATGATACTATGTTTGATTCAGAATAGTTTATTTCTCATGCCAGTGCAGCCCCCACCTTTATAATTGTTCTGGACATTCAATAGATTACATACATTACCACTCTGCCATTCTAATGTCACAATTCAAAGATACATGTTTGGTGTGAACCAATGAGTCCTCAAGATTGTAGTGATTGCTATTGTAACCATATCAATGCTACCATACTGCTACAATGTAGATTCACAAATACACTTTCTTTATGATGAAATATACATGAATAAATTTTCACAAGCTGGATCAGGAAAATCCAGTGTGCGAGTGGTGATAACTGCACCTTCTATGCATCATTCATGTCACAGACAGGAAGTATAGATGTACAAGGTCATAAAATGCAGATTGATGGTGGTGATATATATATTTCCTACCCATTTTCTGGCTCAAAGGGTAAAGTATATAGAAGTGGGGTGAGAAGATTTCCTATTCATGATTCCACTCAAAGAGTAGAAAGTGTGCACTTGTGAGCTGACAAATTACAGCACAGGAGCAGTGACATGTGCATTTCTTCTTCATTGTTCCTCTTGCAAGATAGAAAGTATACTTTATCTCAATCACAGGAAAAAAGTAGAGATGCACAAAGTGACAAATTACAGTGCAAGAGCAGTGACATGTGCATTTCTTTTTCATTGTTCCACTTGCAGGATAGAAAGTATATACCTGCAAGGTGACAGCAATTGCAAAGCATATGGAAATGTCAGCCAGGCTGTGTCTTGCATTTGGCAGCTTATCATTAAATCCCTGGTATTACCCATTGATAGCATTGTTGCATACATGGACAATGGAATAACTGAGGTTTCCAAATCCACATGCAAATAATTACATAAGTAGGGTTCAATGTCACATGATTCTAAGGACAGTGAGAAGTGAGGCCACTTAAGTATAGGTCTAGAACTGTAGTGTGGTGCACACCCTTTGCAATTCTTAGCAGGTCTTTGGCACTATTCCCAGCTGTGCCTAGGTTTCCTGCCACTCACTTGGTGGGCATATTTCAGAAAATGCCAAGACTCCATTCAGTTTTGGTTGGATCATGAACTGTAGTTCAGTGCACACTCTTTACAACTTTTAGTGAGATCTTGATGTAATGCCCAGCTAAACATAGGTTTCCTGTTGCTTGGATGGTGAACATATTTTGGCCTTCTGGAGAGCACCAGTCATCCCTCATGGCTTTGGAATTGTCAATCTTACTATCGACACAGCCATCATAGTTAACATCACTAGACCCTTCACACTTTCCTTCCACCCTGCATTCAACTGAGTTTAAGTAATGCAGGGTTTTTTGGCTAATTGTATGCTTGTACTGCAAAATCAGAAACTCACCTTTCCTCTATAAGGTCAAACACAACTATGTGATGCACGATCACAGAATTATACAGATGCTTGTGATTGTGTACTATATATTGTTATATATGATTATCTGAAAATTTCCCAAGTTCTCTGATGAGGTCATCAGTGCCCAGAGTTGTCCCTGGCTGTCCCATGCCTGATGATAATTGAATTGTTGAACACCATTTGCCAGCTCGACATAAAGCCATGGAACAGAATGGTGGAATCAATAAGATGAAGCTGGCAACTTTCTGAAGCAATGACAGCTGTTGACTGCCTGAGTGACGTTATATATGTTACATACTATCTTTGACCCAGAGTTGCATGTAGCATACTCATCTTTCTTTTCCACAATGATTCTGAAGGATGGTAAGGATGGTTAATGCATAGTTCACTGCATGTATTTTTTATTAGACAAGAAGTGTTTGCAGGAGTAAAACACTGCTCACAAGTGTACTTTCCCATCACAGGGAAGCCATCACACAAAAATAAAGGATTTTACACATGATTCCTTATTACCTTCTAACACTGCTCTATTTTTTCCAACATAAAAATCAAGCTGTGTTGTGCAACACAAATGTTGTACTGTTAGGGATCTGCATGGGTGAACCTGCAGGTGTCGGCAGGTCAACCCCCACCCACATCCCGAGAAAAACCCACACCCACAGCAAGGGTACAGGTTGCACAGTGGGTAGCAAAAGAAGGACCTGGGGTACAACCCATCAAGGGTGTACCCACAGGTTACAAATACTATAGGGAAAAACTACGACATGGTGTAGTAGTAAACTACTCAACAATAATTTGATCCCACCCATCATTGAGCTCCTGTTCATCACCTTTGATGTCAGGCAAAGAACTGACACTGACGATGTCATCAGTCTTGACCAGGTTGAGTTTGCTCCAAAAACTGAGGCACAGCAGTGCATGCGTCGATTGTGCAGATAAGTGTGAGCGCACATGTGAGAGTAAGAGCTGTCCTCGGCTGAATAGTCATTCAATGTCGACTGATGTGGCTGTTGATATTATTAGTTGTAGTATATGCAAGTTCAATTAAAAAAAACTCACCAGGAATAGTAAGGTAGTCCAGGGCCATCCATGATAGACGAGGGTAGGTGGTACAACATTCATCCCACCATGCAAGTGCATCAGGCACATTTTCGATGTCAGAGGTGAGATAGCACTCGAGCTCATCATGGAGATCAGTTGATTTTGGTGGAGCAAGGGCAGGCATGTCATCAAATATGTTATTCATCTAGAATAGAATCAGTAGTCAGTAGTTACAGTTAAAAAAAAGACATACCTTATGCAATGTCTCTGTAGGTAAAGTCTCCATGTCCAAGTCATTGTCTTGAAGGTCAGCATCCAAGGCTGAATAAAGAGTAAATTGGTCACAGACAAGCTTTTCAGCTGTTGTGATCCAATTGTCCTCCCATCGAGCGTTCCTGAAATATACAAGCTTGTGACGCGGGTGTAGTACTATAATATATGTGTGAATGTGAGCTGTCAGAACAGAGACAAAAAAGAACGAACCCATGGCAATGTGATAGACTTCAGATTGATCTGTAAGTTGATAGTACCAGTTAAGTGTTACCTTTGCCAGCTGAACAGCTGAGCAGATTGAAGGATGATACTGTCTGTTGTGAGAGTATGTAGTGAGCTTTTCATCAATGAGATCCATGGCTGGAATCACGGTGGCTAGATTAGGTGTTGAGCAGGAGAAAAATAGTGTTGCATCCTTTAGAATCTACATAGACACATAGACCAAACAATTGTTAGTCCATGTGTTGTGCAGATCTTTCCGGTGCTTACCTTGAGAACACTCCTCAGTTGTTCAGCAATTGCCCACTCCTCATCATTCAGCTCAAACTTCCACAGACCAAGATCTTGACGTTGAGTCATGGTATCAACAGCCTCCTGATGCTCAATCGCATATTCCAACATATCAAATGTGGAGTTCCAGCAGGTTGAAACATCATGTGGCATGAGAGTAATGGGTGCCTGCAAGTCTTCAAGAATCTTACACCATGCTGGGAGGACTATAGTCGTTGAATGTATAACTTTGTAGGCCAGTTTACGGAGCTAGAAGTGAGATTAGATTTGAAGGTGCATGTTGGTTTCTTTTTGTTCTTACCTTTACAAGGGCTAACTTCACAGGAAGAATACTCTTTTCCAGCGTAAGTCGTTCATCAGGATCAAGCTCTCCAACTTCATCAACCCAACTGTCATCATTATCCCTACCATTGTTATCCCCAACACCATATTCAGCTATCATCACTGCTTCCTCTGCATCAATCCCCTTGCTCAATACCTCCAGCTGCTCCGCTCTATCATCACTATTCTCAGGCTCATCCAAGGCTTTGTCGGCCTCTTTCTTTGTTACATCAAACTCACGAATGAGCGATTTCGCTATGAGGTTTACCATATGGAGAAAACACCATGTATGGCTTGTGGCCCCCCCAAACGCTGGTACCTCAGCTGCAAGGTTCTCAACCATGACATTATTATTGGAAGTGTTATCACATGTTACACTCAAAATCTGGGCCGCACAATATCAATTTGTAAGTTGTCTCATCTCTTTTAAAATTTACCTTGTCTGAAATGCCAAATTCCTCAAGCATCTTTGCAAACACATTTGCCAGCTCTTCACCTGTGTGGGACTAACATAGTATTAGCTGCTATGGCTCTAACAAGGTAAGTTTCTCACCTTAGCTACTTCAATTATATCTAATGGTAGGCTTAGTGGTATGCCCTTGTGCTCAAGGTGCACTGAGAACGCCATGAATGCTTGATGGTTTGGTGAACTCCAAGCATCCATTGTAAAATTTATCTTGCCATCATATTCCTGGTGAGGTTTTTCATTTGAATATTTCAAAGTGTGTGATTTGAACTAACTTGTAACATTTTAGCAACTCATTGCTGAGTCTGAGCGAACATGAGTTGAACATCACACGAAATTGTGGATGGCAAAGGTATGTAGTACTCTGGCCTTCTGGTCTTCATCAATGACTGAAATCCCCGATCCTTGACTATCTCAAATGGACGCAGACTCTCCGAAACCCAACGCACTATCTCTGCCCTGGAAGAAGACAATTTAGGCTTAGGTGCCATCAACAACAACATCAAGACCTCACCTTGTTTCTCTGCATGTGTGCTGATGGTGCGAGTAAGTCACTTTCCCCTTTCCTTTCTGTTCAAAAGATGCTGTGATTGACCCATTTTTTAGGATACTTCCAACAATTTTTGTTCGCACTTCATCTGCATCTTTAGCATTGTCTGCAGCATTGAGTGCATCTTCCCCCCAGCAAGATTTTACATGTTTGCACATGTTCCCCGTCGATCGTGCATCCTTTTTGTCCAGGAATCATTGGATCATCGCCTTGCATCCTTTCGCACAGCACTTGAATTCATGTGCACGTCAACCACCAACTTCAGTGATGTGGGGAGTTGGGTCGAAGAATGCATAAACAGGTGATACCCATTCTTTCATAAGCCTTGCTGTTGCTAATTAGTGGTGCTATGTTTGTATAGCAGGAACATACTTCACTTGTCCTCAGCACTTTCTGGACCTGAAGCCTCGCTACCAGCCTCATCTCCACTTTTCTCGCTCATGTCATCAATGACAATGGCATTGTCATACAATGCTTCTTCCTCTTCCTCAGTGTGAACAATGACACGGCAAATCTTACGAGGCTCTGCTGCTGTTCTCACATCAGATGGAGGTGGAGAGGCCTTGTGTTAAGGTCGTACTCAAAGGGTAACTGGATCTGAAGGGCTTCAGCCTCAGCTCGTGCGCTGTGCCCCTTACCTGAGTATTGCCCCTTATTTCAGGAAGGCAAGACTAGCACGTCTGGAAGGTCAGATGAGTAGCATAACGGATCTGGATGACTTCCGGATGAGGGATAAGTATCATAGGGCTAATCCAGATGAGTCCAGACTAGAAACTAATGGTAATGGACTGTCGGGGACAGAGGCGGATACGGATAGACTATAGGAATCAATCCTAAGTCTTGGAGGGTGACAAGAGTAGAGGTACTCAAGTCCGGAGGACAGGAATGAGCAGAACTAAGATGATATTCGAACTGAGGTACTACAGAAAGTTACAGGAGGTTATATACTATAGGTATCTAACGGAATGATCAATCAGCAGAGTCCAAGGCTATGTATGAAGCATGTGGATAGTCTATTGGTAAGTAGAAATGGATCACAAATCATGAAATGGAAATGAAACATAGGTAGTGGATAAGGGAGCAGGACGGATATACAGATAACCAAAATACCGGAGTTAGGGGGTTACCAAAAGGGGACGAGCACTGGTTGTGGATTTGGATGAGTTGTGGACTGGACCGGATGAGTGGACAGGTTGAATGACGAGATGTTGGAGGGAGATAAGATGCAGATAGGATCGGAGATAAGATGGGGATCTGAGAAGAGATAAGGGTTGGATCTGAGATCCAGATATGCGGATATGACACCGGGCCATCAAAGAAGCGCATGATTGATGCAAATGGCGCAAGTGTGGTCTCCAACAACTCGAAGAAGGCAAAACAAAATCCTCCCACAGATATATCCAAAGATAGACTGGTAGCCAAGGTGTCATATCCGCATATCTGGATCTCAGATCCAACCCTTATCTCTTCTCAGATCCCCATCTTATCTCCGATCCTATCTGCATCTTATCTCCCTCCAACATCTCGTCATTCAACCTGTCCACTCATCCGGTCCAGTCCACAACTCATCCAAATCCACAACCAGTGCTCGTCCCCTTTTGGTAACCCCCTAACTCCGGTATTTTGGTTATCTGTATATCCGTCCTGCTCCCTTATCCACTACCTATGTTTCATTTCCATTTCATGATTTGTGATCCATTTCTACTTACCAATAGACTATCCACATGCTTCATACATAGCCTTGGACTCTGCTGATTGATCATTCCGTTAGATACCTATAGTATATAACCTCCTGTAACTTTCTGTAGTACCTCAGTTCGAATATCATCTTAGTTCTGCTCATTCCTGTCCTCCGGACTTGAGTACCTCTACTCTTGTCACCCTCCAAGACTTAGGATTGATTCCTATAGTCTATCCGTATCCGCCTCTGTCCCCGACAGTCCATTACCATTAGTTTCTAGTCTGGACTCATCTGGATTAGCCCTATGATACTTATCCCTCATCCGGAAGTCATCCAGATCCGTTATGCTACTCATCTGACCTTCCAGACGTGCTAGTCTTGCCTTCCTGAAATAAGGGGCAATACTCAGGTAAGGGGCACAGCGCACGAGCTGAGGCCGAAGCCCTTCAGATCCAGTTACCCTTTGAGTATGACCTTAACACCCAGAAGCTTCAAGTCTCTCTTCAAGTGCTGCCTTAGCCTTGTCCATGAGTTTTGTGACTCGTTTTGCAGCTGCAGTAAATATGTTTGGTTGCATGGCTGGATGTGAGGTAGTGGGCTGGGACAGGTATGCTTAGGATGACAGGACCAAAAGATTTTTTCAACAGTTGTGGCTTCTTTAAGGTTTGGTTTTGAAATAGGTACTATTACATATCTTGATTAGGTAGCAATATATCGTGTTCTGATGGTCTAACCTGTGTGCGGGTATGGGTATAGGTATGGGTGCCATGAAAGGCAACCCCCACCCATACCCCAGGTGTACCCCTACCTGTGACCCATACAGGTTACCCATACCCATGCAGTTGCCTATGTACTGTCAAGACACAAGGTGTGACAGGGGAGTGATTTGGTGTTCAGAGTCATCAAGCTCTGCTTGGCAACTCAGTCATGGCCAATGCAGCATCAAACTTTCAGCCCTGGGCCACAGACTGCATGCCTAAGATGACAATATTGCCTTGACATTTGCACAACATATGCATTCAATCCTGTCTTAAATATTGTGGACCCCATAGCGACTGGTGTTCTCAGAGTATTATTGCAATGAAGCCCAATAATAGCAAGTTCAGCACACATTAAACCACTATATGCAATAAGGCTTACCAGGTGCTTCCTCATGTGCCTGTACAGTCTGTACAGATGGCTTGTACAAGTACCCTGTTGCATCACCACTGGGTCACATCTGCACACTTGTCCATCACTGGCAGGAGAAGCTGATAAGTTAACATTGTAGGAGGGTGATGGTTCTAGGGGCTGCAAAGAAGATCACAGCATGCTCTGCAATGTATATCAGGTATATAGTAGTACCAGAAGCATGTTATTATACTCTACACAGAGGGAATTTAACACATGCTAACCAAATGTGATACTATTGCTATAATTTAATTATACGCAAAATCGACCGAGGAATAAGACCTCCATAGCCTACTGAAGCAGAGTCCGTACAACCTTCAAATATGTATGCTGCTTATCCGAAAATTTATATTTTGTGTACTTTGGCAATTCCATGTTAGTTAGTGGTGGCATCAGTGTACGAGGTTTTGGCAAAACCGACGCGGGAGTTGGTGGTATCGAACACAGAGTAGAAGCGCTCAAGGAATGTGTAGCCGTTAACAAAGTCAAACCCTGAGCCACTGGGCGTGCCAATGTCGGCAACGATGAGATATATAGCTTTGCTACTACCACCAATTTTGGTATTGAGAGAACGAGGCCAGATTTGGGCGTTAGGGGTGAGACTGAGGGTGTTCTGTGCAAAGTGGTGAGTGAGCAAGGGGTGTGAGGGCTGACAGAAATAGCGTACACTGCCAATATTGAAGTTCAGATTCTTAAGGGCACTGTACTGGGTAGAAGAAACGAGGAGAAGACCAGTTGCCCCATCCACAGTAGCACCGGTTTCAGACTTGTATTTGTTGTAGGCATCTATCGAACGCTGATTAGACCATGATTATCGCCGCACTCCACATACACACCAGTGGCAACGTAAAGAAAGGTGGTGCCAGTATCGACGATACCAGCAGTGGAGGACAAGATCGTTGTGGAGCCGTAGGTGATGCTCTCGTTGATACCCCAATAGGTCGATGCCGGGTTGGTGGTGGTGATAGAACTGAGACGAGACAATCACCATCAGTCTGGATTGATCTAGGAGCTGAGGTAGCTTACGTGTATCCAATATCGCCGGTGTACTTGGCGGCATCAGTTCCACCAAAGCTGAGCTCTCCATTGGTGATTGTCTGCGAAGTGGTGGGCCCGAAAAAGATACCAACAACCTTCTGAGGAATTGTGCCTTCGCTATATAGGTTGTCAGTGACAGTCGGGATCGTCACTGTCGGCGAATTCGTCAAGGTACCCTCTGTCAAGCCTACAGGCCCGATGCCAAGGATACCGTCAACACCACTGAAGCCCTCCGTAGTAGAAGCATCACCAATCGACTGCTTGGTGATGGTGAGCCCACTACCGAGAGTGACGGTGTCGGTGTACTCAGTTCCTATAGATAATCGTAGGTATTTTCAACTTATGATATCGTTGTGTCATACCAGAGAAGGAGCCAGAACCGTAGCCGACATCCACAGGCTGACCAGTGTTGACGCTGGTGCTGGTCTTCACGTATGCAGTGTCGGCACCAACCCATGTGTTCGAGCTACCAGTATCAACAATCAAGTTATCTTCCATAATACATTAGCAGCCGCATGTTTTCCCAGTGTTGAACTCACAGGTTGTGGCGGGGCTGCCAACACCAACTGCTGCGATGTAGCCTGTAACTTCGTTTGTCACGGCAATGCTACCAATATGACGGTCGTCCTTAAGGGCTGCTACGCGAGCTTTATCGTACTCCAAGAGGTTAATAGTACCACCAGAGACGTTTAACCTCCTGGCAATGGGGAGGGTGATGGGGGAGTCGCGAATTTCAACAGGCGATGCCGCGATAGACAAAGCCAGGAGGAGAATTGTCAACAAGGATGCAGCGGGGAACATGGCTTACCGGAACGCAATATCATACTCAGTGGCCCATTATATATGCGCTGGCGAACGCGAATGTTGGACACCTTAACTACGTGTGAGATGTTCCTCCTCGAAAAAGTGATGACGAGACAGTCGCGGTCCGAGTCATCGCGAGTGCAAGAATTCGACTTCTCAATAAAATGTGACAAGAGGTTTGTTTTTGGTCCCAGGCGGCAGGAATTTATGATTCGTTTACTCGCGTGACTTCATTTCCATAGAGATGCTCACCTATCATGAATACACCTTCGACGGCAGATTGTCGGTGCCAAGGTTGGTGGAGCAAGCGTCGTTGAGGAAAGTGGTTGTCTAGCCTGGGTTGTCCCTGGTTGTCTCGGGCCTACCAGATGATGACTGAATTGCTCAACTGATGCCATTTGATAGCTCGGCACAAAACCATGGAATATAATGATGCTATCAAATAAGCTGGCAATTTTCTGAAGCACACCGGCTGTTGACCCATGATCCAATGGATCATTTATGCAAATGGGAAAATTTTGCTGGAGGTTCGCATGACTACGGAGTCCGAGTCGGTCCCTCGACCACGAAGGAAACCAGTGCACACTGCAAATGTTATCCCGTAACCGGCGCACATCAGTCTCAGACTCCCATTGGAAATCAGCACTTAGCAGGTCATGTGTAATGCATGGCCACCTACAGGTATCGTCTAATGGGTCGAGAAGTCTCAAAATCACTTCTTGCTATCAGTGTTGTACATACATCATGTTGGAGCGCCTCACCAAGAAGCCTTGTCCTGGGAACTGGAAGTCCAATGGCAGATTAATCGTCGATATCCGTTTGATCCAGGTGATAGACAAGAACTTGAAGAAGTATCAAGTTATTTGCACTTGTGCCATTACCTCTGCAGTGGACGTCGATGATTAAGTAATTTAAGATTAAGCTTCCGACATATAGGGTCTTCGACCTAAAGGACGACCCGTAAATATGTTTTTTTCCTTATACTGTAGAGCTTTGACCAGCCGCTATGAACCTCCTTTATATAAACCTGTATCATGAGCAATATGGCCACCTGACGCGACAAAGCCCGCTACCTCCAACTTTTGTTGTGGGGACTTCGGTTTCGCGCTTATCCTTGGTGCATCACTGGGTGATATGCACCATGTATGTCGTCTTCCCGTGCCCATATGCAACGTCTTCTTGATCTTCCTGCCATGTGCGTCATACGTGTTCTGCGACTCACCGTGCGTTTCATCACCAGTAGTATGTGCCAAGCAACCCAAGAGCAACACTAGCTCAGTGCCTTTCCCATTCAAAAATGGCCGAAGGTTCGCATTTACAACACCATCAAAAAAGAACGAGTGATGCTTGCAGCTAGTATCCTTCAAGTAGCTCGATGACTGTCGCTGTTTGTTGTACTATACCGCCTCATGCACCACATCTTTCTGTGATCATCCATTTTGTAGTGATTCTCAGCCTGCTGCTCATTACTGCTATGACTCCGAGTTATCCCTCCGCCACGCCCTCACCATGTCCGGTCATTCTTAATTGACCGAAGCCTGCTGGCTTGCCCACGCGGGCAATTTTGCCCTGGTAGAGGGACCCAATGGCAAGCTTGTCTTGGATTTTAAGGTGACGGCTCAAAACGAAAGCACGTTTAACTGCATTTAACAAGCTGGCAACAGCCGTGGCCGGTAGGTCGTGCGATTTTTGCGTTCTCTCCATCGCACTCGCAAAGAATGCAAGAACCCGGCGATCGCATATACGCGTACCTGTTTACTAGACCATCAGTTTCTCTGCGAGCAGCTCTCCTTCTCTCCAACTTGTTATTGGTCGATGTTACATATGTGTGTCATCAAAATATTAACGGTTCGCAACTAAACTATTCATGGTTACAGTTCGCCGGTATCGGCATAGACGCGAGCACACATATCTCAGGAAAGAGCTTGGACAATCAGTGTCCGCGAGATTGGTTATTAGAGTATCATTCGTCCCTTATTGTAGCCTTGTCTCAATCTAGATGCTTAGAGATTTGGATTAGTCTACGCTGAGTCAGTGGTCTCACGATTTAGGGCAAGTAGAGCTGGGGTTTCTTCGTGGAACAGCAATAGTTGACATTCGAACGTTCAACTACGACTCCAGTCACAATTGTTTCCAGGAATGCTTTCAAAAGACTTGATCTATAGGTTGTGATAAATGTTACATTATGACATACAAATACCCAATACCCAAGAAAAAAATTGCATTAGTTGGTGGTGGCAGTCGTGTATGCGGTTGTGGCAAAACCGACTTGGGAGTTGGTGGTATCGAACACGGAGTAGAAGCGTTCAAGGAAAGTGTAGCCGTTGATGAAGTCGAGACCTTCACCACTTGGAGTGCCAATGGAGTTGACAATGAGGTAGACGTAATCGGAGCTACCACCAATGTAGGTGTTAAGGGCACGAGGCCAGATCTGACCGTTAGGGGTGAGAGCGTAGGTGCTCTGTGCAAAATAGTGAACAAGAGGCATTAAGATTTGGGACAGAAAGGCGTACGCTGCCAACATTGAAGTTCAGGTCCTCGAGGTCATCATACTTGGCGGTAGTAAGGCGGAGAAGACCAGTCGCATTGTCCTCAGTAGCGCCAGTTGCAGACTGGTACTCGCTGTAGGCGTCTATTGAACACTGGTCAGATTGAGATCACTCGCTGTACTTGAGATACGCACTGGTAGCAATGAGAATGAGGGTGGTGCCAGTGTCAACGATACCAGCCGTCTCAGCCAAGATGGTCGTGGTGCCGTAAGTGATGCTCTCGTTGATACCCCAGTAGTAGGATGCAGGGTAGGTGGTGGTGAGAGGACTGAAATCAACGATTGCTGTCAGTCCGGATTGATCTCCGAGCTGCAGCAACTTACGTGTATGCAATGTCGCCAGTGTACTTGGTAGCGTCAGTTCCACCGAAGGTAAGCTCTCCATTTGCGTCTGACTCCGAAGTGGTGGGCTCGAAAGAGACACCGACAACTGTCTCAGCAATGATGCCTTGGCTATACAGGTTGTCAGTGACAGTCGGGATCGTCGTGTCTGGTTCTTTTGTCAAGGTTCCCTCTGTCAAGTCTAGGGGCCCGATGCCAAGGATACCGTCAACACCGGTGAAGCCCTCCGAAGTAGCAGCAACACCAATCGACTGGGCGGTGATGGTGAGCCCATCACCGAGAGTGACGGTGTCGGTGTACTCAGTTCCTATAGATAATCGTAGGTATTTTCAACTTATGATATCGTTGTGTCATACCAGAGAAGGAGCCAGAACCGTAGGTGACCGCTACAGCCTCGCCAGTGTCAACACTGGTGCTGGTCTTCACGTATTTAGTGTCGGCACCAACCCATGTGTTCGAGCTACCGGTGTCGACAATCAAGTAGTCTGCAATAACACATTAGCAGCCGCATGTTTTCTAAGTGTTGAACTCACAGGTTGTGGCGGGGCTGCCAACGCCAACTGCTGCGATGTAGCTTGTAGCATCGTTTGTCACAGTAATACTACCAGTACGACGGCTGAGGGTGTTTTCCCCGACATTTTTGAGGGCGGCCGCGCGAGACTGATCGTGCTGCAAGAGGTTGATGGTACCACCAGAGGTGTTTAGCCTCCTGGCGATGGGGAGGGTGATGGGGGAGCTGCGAATTTCAACAGGCGATGCCGCGATGGACAAGGCCAGGAGGAGAGTCGTCAACAGGGATGCAGCTGGAAACATGATTGAACAGTACTGGAAGCCGATGATCATACCATATTTCGAAGCCCATTATATATGTGCTGGTAAACTGTGCTGAAAGCTGAGCACACGGTTAATCTCATCCTCAGATGAACCGTATGGAACGCGCCCCCTCACGTGAAGAAACCGAAAACAGGAATAACTCAGCAATCGACTCGTTGTGCGCATATTTTGGATCAAAACCAACATAGCGGGACGAGTAGCCTGTTTTTGGCCGTGAGTAAGAGGAACTGCATCCACGAGGATGCGCTGTTCCACCAGTTTATTCATAGATCAATAGTTAGGGAGTGCTTACCTACATGGTGAAACAGGCGAATCCACCTTCGGTCCTTCGCAGTACATCATTGCCGGGTGTATCACTTTCGAGACTGCACTATGCAACTACTGCCAGTGAGAGGCTAACCATTGCTGGGAAGAATGGCGCCTGGGCTTGATGATGTCACATTGAAAATATGTTACACCGATGTGAATACAAGAATACCCGCGGGCTCGACACACAATTTCAGTCGTGTAGTGTTGCTGCCAAGGAGAGATAGGATGAAGAATCAAGTTCCCTGGGGCATATGCCCCGCAGCTGAATCCTGGGGTATCAATCTCGCGACCGACCGGAGCCATTGTTTCTGAAGAAAAAGAAATTTGATCCAGATGAAAACAACGAACAGACGTTGACTCTGCAAGAATTCGCCTTTTCGTGGCGGATAGTGAGCATGATGGTACAGATATCTTGCCCTAATCACTGCCGTTTGAAAATGGGGAGATTAGGGCTGCATAACTTTGCATGAATGATACATGCCCATAGCTAGTGATCGGGCCTGAGCAGTATCCTGGCAGTACTTCTTCCCCGTCGACGTCGGGACCCCGACCTCTTCCATTTAGTAATAGACCCGGCAGGTGCATATGCCATAGTCACATACTTCGGTTGTATTCGCGCTACATCCCTCGAACACCTCAGCAGCCCACGAAATAGCCTACAGGAGCCGCCAGATATGATTCAAAGATACTAGCATCCGTGTGCTTGTGAAGTAGTGAGTTGCAGCCATTATGGTCACCCGGAGGAACGCCATGGTAAGTATGATGGGATCAATTGATCATGTTTGTGATTTGCTGTTTGTGATAAGCTCTCACACAGTTCCGACCGATCAGATATCGATCACTGGTTAATCTGTACGAGCTGATTTTTCCCTTTCATGGGAATCTGGCTCGAAATCAACAGATTGCTGCGTATGGTTAACGTAGCTCCAATGCTGCTTCAAGATCTCCTTTTCCGCATGCGATATAGCGAGCAAGCCTGGGGGCATAATTCTGGAGTTTTGCACCGCAAGTACTGGTTCTTCTGTATAATGCCGTAATTTTGATTCAGACAGGAATGGCGGGACCACGTGAGTATCAAACGGCTCTTTAAGAATACTGAAGCAGGCGTTGCATGAGTGCCGGCTCAATTTTTTAAAAGACGTTCAAAGTTAGGCGCACACGCGCACCGCCCCCCTACTAAAACGGTAATCTGACAGTTGTCGGACTTTAGACTAAACCTTGCGGCGCGCAGTGCCGAACTGTTTATCAGTTGACAAAATTTCAGGTATGATATGATATATGACATTTTCCTATGTGCTGAACCATACCAATACGGTTTACCAGAAGGTTTAGGAAGGTACTGCAAGGTCAAGGACTAATAAGGTTGAGGTAAGGTTTTAGCAGACAATATATCTCGACAAGCTACTGTTCAGCCTCGTGCTACGTGCCGCGAGGTCCAGTTCAAAGTCCGACGATTATCTAATATCACTATGGCAGAACTTCGGAAGGTCATGAGGTGCGCCAAACTATGAACGTCCCTATTAAATGCACTTTCCAACTCAAAGCACAAAGCACAAGAATCCGTCGGGAGAAGACCCTTTCTTATCTTTCCTTGCGCAATACAAATAGGTTTTACCGATCGAGTCTCCGACGACCTCATGGATTTGACATCCTGTGTGGAATGGTGTTGGAAGAGTTCATGCAAAGGTACATTCTCTCATCCTCTCCCAAGCACGCCGCGACGTGGTTCGAGCATAAATTTCACAGTGGCCATAATCCGTGGCATATGTTATCTGCCGACACTTTGGGTTGAACGTTGACTGCGCATTACATTGGTCAACGACCTTTAAGTGATAATTCAGCGAATGTCTCCGTTGCATCATTCCACCGGCCGCCATTAGCGAAAAATGCTACAAGCGAGCCATGTACAACCAGGATGTATGTGCTTGACCGGGACCCTTGACCGGCATACACCTGACATACGAGGCAGCCTAGTCTACCTATAACAGGCGGCAGTACGCAGTGGGTGTAAGCTACTGTGCGTGTACTTTCTATTTTTACACAATCAAAGCTAAATACCGACATTGCTCGGTGCATTTCATCTTGTGGGCGAAATGTCATGGTATTGCTCGACCTACTTTTCGAAGCAGTAAAATTGACAACATAAGTATCTCATAAAAATGTACAGTAACAAAAATAGCGAGAGATAGTGGGAATGCATACATATGTAGAGAACGGATATTTGGTAGTACTCTATCCAAACTCTTCCGATAGTGCTCTACTCTACAACAAACACGAGTTCAACGGCTATAGTAGTAAACGACAAGGAAGTGCCTGGCACATGGGAGAGACGAGCACCCCTACCAGTGAAATTTACTTCGCTCAAGCAAACCGCACTTTCTCCCCCGGTCGACCCTCTGACAGCAGTACAACAGCCTAAATGAAGTGGACGCTCAGTACACAGAACCATAACTGCTGAAGGTACGCACATATTTCCCGCTGATCTTCCAGCCTGGCTCTTCCTTCTCTCCTCTAACCGCTCCGCTATGGCGTCACCATTGTCTCTCCTAGCCCGACAACAACGTCGCTTTTTATTGTCCGCAGACTGCAAATCTTTGGAGCTCCAGCAGCGCTAGCCATGGGTCCAATGGCAATGTCGAATGGAACGCTGGCCGGTGCAGCACAATCATACGTCAACTTCCTGTGGTTCAAGTCGCCTTTGAAGTAGACGAGATCTGCGCGAGACAGATGGAGGAAGAGATCCGGTGCCTCGCTGTGAAGGTCCCAGAACGTATATCCAGTGCACCAGAAAGGATGTTGCTCATATTGCCATCTGCCATCTTTCTCGTATTGCTATCAAACGTGTGAGTGAAACCTCATGCGCCGACAGACTACCCCTACCTTCCACCGGGCCCCGAGTCTCCGTAGCGACTCTCGCTCAACCTCGGAGGCTTTTGGGAACAGGTGCCCATATACCATGGTGTTCAGTAACCAGTCCCAGTCTTTCCGCGTCACATCAGATACGAACCATGGATAACGCTTGCCATGGAACCGAATCTGCTTAGCCAGACCAGTCTGTATGAGGAAATCGGCTGGTAACAATTAGTCAATCTCTCCACCAAGAGTTGTTTCTTGAACGCACCGTACACGAAATCGCAATACAATTCAAACCCGGCGTTATCCAACACGAAGTCAATTCGTCCACCAGTCTTTTCGCGGAGGACTTTGACAGTCTCCCAAAGCTGGTTTAGATGGTTGCCAAGAATATTCTTTTCAGTGGCAGCAAGGTGGTCTCCTCCAGTTGACTGGAGAGATTTGATCTGTTCTTCCGTCATGTTGATCAAGAGTGAAAGGTCAGTCGAGTTGCCCCACAGACACACTTGCATAACATGTCAGTAGCAAGAACATGAGAAACTCTTATTATCACCTTGAGTCAACTCCAAAAACATGAGTCTCTCGCTTTCTGCTTTCTCTTTGTCTGACATGTTCTCTGACTGCTTGAAAGGCTCAGCAAAGCGCATAGACAGCTCAAAGACAGCGTCTGTCGATCTTGAAAAAGTGTCACACTGGAAGCGCTGTCAGACTGAAAAGATTAATCTAGTCTGATTCATACCTTTTGACGGTAGAAAACATCATAGTCATGCCAGTACTTGCTTACACTGAAGCACTCATGCAGACGACGATACTTATAGGCTTCGGCGAACAACCAAGGCGCATTCATGAAATCCTTGCCTAAAATGCGGATTGTCAGGCAAGATGCGTGGTACATATGGCGAACATCATACCCTGGAAATACTTTGCAATTTCCTTATTCCATAGAGCCACGTCACCTTCACCGTCATCAACGATTGGCCTAAGCTTAGCATTTCCACTGAGATCGGCCATGAGGGCGTCCATTCTCTCCAAACATTCTACAAGGTCAACAATCTTGTCTTCGGCAGACTGCTCATTTAGAGTTCGTGATGCATCGTCTATAGCTTTGCCAAGGATGGTAGGCAACCGAACCCCCATCGTTGCATGTGCGAACGAGTACTCGTGGTAGCCACGGTACGCTGGCCACGGAGGGTTGTTGGGATCAACCTGGGAGAAGATACCCCGATGCACGTCAGATGGACTCCTCGGGTGACAACTCATGTTTATACCGACCCGTGAGGGTGTGCGTGGCACGGAGCCTTGATATCTTTCTTGCTTGGCAAGTGTCCGAGATGAAGGGTGACACGAGAGGGTGTACTGTAAGTAGCGAGAGAGCCATTTGCTTTGGCAATCGGACCATCGGTGTTAGCAGTACTATGGGTTCCATTGGTTTGCTGGTGCTGTCTCAGCCATAGATGTATAATCGACTGAATGAACAGGTGTAGGAGGGAAGTAATCAGCGTTCATTTTGAAGATGGCAGAAATGGGTTGTGAGTGAACAAAGAACGATAGGCCAACCTTATACGACGTTCCCTGGTGACGACTAACTGTTATCTTTTTGAACGACGGTAGCGCCAAGATGTGTCGCTACTCAGCGGCGCATGGTTTTATTCGACGATACAGCTTGAATTTTGGAGTGCTTTTCCCAAAGAGGAAAGTTGGGCAACGACGTCATGGGTCTGACTGATGTCATGTGATTATTAGAGATTCGCCACTGGCCGTATCGCAATCGGAAATGAAGTTCTTTGTTCGACTGGATTTGCCACTGGGTCAGGTTCCACATGTACTAGCGTGAGCTATATGTAGAGGTTCTGGCTCAAATTCAAAATTGTGCCATCAAATAATTTTAATATTATCTTCTATCTATCAGATTAACCAATCATGCAACAGTTGCATCCAAGGTCCCGGATATGCCTCGTCTGACCCGCGGCGCACTCTCGTTGTAATTTCATCGACGACTAACTTCCTCCTTACAAAGCACCCAGGCCTGCACCGTAAGGTGGAAAAATTGAGTAGTGAGCAAGTCATCGGCGACGACGGCGCCTAGTCCGCATCACAATCGGACATTTTCAGTGGCTTCCCCTCAGGAGCTAGAGTACTATGACAGAATAGTACTACTTGGGCCTCACAAAATACGGACACATGAGTGCAAGAACGTTGCAAGGGATGTGCAACATCTTGAAGAACGTGAAATGCTCTGCCCGGCGGCATCCGGACTGACAGCACCTTATATGACTAACACTCACCTAGCAGCGCTCAAAATCAAATATATGGATGACACACCTGCCATCGAGCATATTTGTCATGCGAGTCCGCGCTCCAAAGGTCACATTTTGTCTCCGAAGATGTTTCTAAAAAGCATTGTTCAACATCTAAGATCTAATTTGAATATTCGATATTCAAGTGACAGTCACAAATGTCTCACGATACTGTCTGCGTGACAACAAAGAGGGAATTTGTCTATGTTCTTTCCAGGGAGGTAGGGCCCCATCAGTAAGTACTTGAATTGAATCTACCGCTGGTTGACCTCGAAGGTGATCCAATCAAGTGATATCCTCACTTATTCCTCGCGTTAGACTATGAAGTACCTGCTGCAAACGTTTCCACATTCGGTTCATAACCTTCCTAGTCTTTCAATTGACGCTCGTTCACTGACTCTGAGACGCCGTGTCCAAAAATTACTTGTCCCACAGGAAATCGCATATCATGGACACCCGAAATTGTGATATGTCGTAAACTTGGCATTGGGACTTGATCTCGAGACTAGTTCGTGATACCGACCAGCATTTACGAGTCGCAGACCCTATAATTTCTCATCGATGTAATGCTGCTGCAACGTGTTTGACATCCGAGTCAGGCTCGCATTACATTACCCAGACATGTGTCTCCCTTGCTCCTGGTCAGCAGGTCAATTCTATTGATCATTGCGCCTCACAGTCTGTCCTCCGAGTTTATCGCTGTCGACTACACTGGATTAGCGACGAGATATCCGTTCACCACTTCGAGTTCTCATCTATCTTATACTTCCTTGAATAGCTCAGTAAGGCATTTCGAGATGCCCCAGCAAATTCGTTGGACTCCATTTGGCATCCCGTATGTGGTGGAGTTCAACAACATATCGTTCACGCCTCGTAGAACGGTGTCTCCTTCAGAAGATACACTCGCGAGCTTTCCTGCACCGGAGAAATCTCCTTCTGTCTCGGAGCAATCTCTGACCTACTCATGCCCATCTGCTACAAGCTCAACTTCTTCTTTTTGTCATATCTCGCAATGTATGCTAGAATCCCCACTAAAGACTCGTTCATCCATTTCGCGCCTGGTATCCTTATCTCGTTCCGCGCCTGGTATGCGCTCAGCGTCTTCATTCTTCAAGCGGAAACACCAGAATGCTCATCCAAGCACACGCAAACCTTACTCGACAACCCAAAATCCATCCAGCAACCCAATCGACACGTGGTGCTATATACCTGCGCACGTTCCCAAACCCCTTCCCCCCGTGCCTCAGCAAGAACCTGAAGGCATCCATGTGGACGGGCTCCACATACAATTCGCCACGCCCCCATGCGATCCACGTGCATCATCCCGAAGTCGACTTGTGCGTTTGCAAAAAACGATCACTAGCGCTGTTGTCGAGGCAGGCATGGATACTCCCTCCGCACTTGAGGAACAGATGGATCTCGACAAATGTTCCTGATTATCATAGCCGCGACACACTGTTCCGCGGGACATATGGCCAGGTCATGGTCGCTCTGAAAGCAGCAGGCCTTGTTGCAACGCCATGTATGGAGGGCGATTTTGCAGGTGGTGCGTAATCACCCAGATTATCATTTATCTTCCGTCTCATTCATCATAGCTACGCGTTTGGGCGCGCTCTTTGTCGCACATAGATCCTCAGAGGAGAGGAATGTGCAGCTAAGAAAGCTGACACTTTGGGGCTAAGTGCCGGTCAGATAGGCATTCAGTCCCTAAACATGCGCTATTTATGCCCCTCCGACAATGTTAAATCTACTATCGAGGACTATCTTTATGTTTGGTTGACATTCATGGCAAGGCAGGGCCCCTGACAGAAATTCCACACCGACGATTTCGAGTTCGTTCGTTCAAATTTGGATTGTCCGTCTATCGCAGATACATTTATTTATACCCCAAGGGGCGCTCATACTCCGAGCTCGGAAGCGAAAGTTATTGTCCCCTCTATTATCGACATCACTACAGGAGCCACGTCTTCTGCTTCCAATTTTCGTGTGCCTCTAATCATCCTCGGAGCGGGGGTGACCGGACTCACCAACGCCCACCTTGCTGCTTGTGACCACGATCATGGCGAGAGATCTGCCTAGGGATTGGGGTTCTCAAGCCTGGGCAAGTCTTGTGTCTCTTTTGAGCACTCCTGAAGTACTTTCTTATATTAATCTTGTCTAGGGTACGAATTGGTCTCCATATCGTTGGGTG